GCCCGATTTCGGTCTGCGTGGGCCAGGCTCCTAATACTAATACTAATAACAACAACGTAAACAACCTGCAGAATAGTGTCCTAGCTCAATCAGCCGGGATTCACGATCTAAACGCGGCTGGCCAGTTGAACGTAACCAGTCAACAGCTGCAATTGCAGCAACAAATGGGTCAAGCACCTGGCATGGGTGAGGTACTCACCCCCAAGAGGCAGGCGGTCGTCGATCGTCTAAGAAGAAGGATAGAAAGTTATCGACGTAGACAAACCGATTGTATACCAAGATTCGATCAAAGCTTCAACGGTCTATGCGAACAAAATATTCAAGACACATTAGTGCTGAAGCAACGTTTTCTCGAAAGTAAGGCAAAACGGCAGGCCAAGAAAACGGACAAGAAGCAAAGCGAGCCGGTCGGTCTCTCCAGCGTTCACGTGGTGAGTCATTTACTCTACTTGTTGGCTTTCGCGTCTGTCTCTCGTTGGCGTTCCTCGTCACAATACCATGCTTATAGTCGGCGTAGGTGATCACACTCGTTTGCGCGCGCGCACATGCCGGTCGTCAACCTTCCTTTTCTACCAAATTTCTTATCATATATCTTCTCTTTCGCGCACGACCTTGTTATTTCGTGCATTCGCTTTCGAGAGAAGATTAATGATATTTCGCCAACAGTATGACGATAACGATGAATTGTATCGTTGTTGCTATTGTGTTTGCTCGTTCGGAACGATTGAATTCTATCCGAAATATTACGATAATCGAGTTTTAATGATGAACGTAAATTATCGATGATATACGTTACAAATTTTCCTGTTGAAAATGAAACAAATTTATGAGTACTTATGATCATAAAGCAGGATGAGTATTGTGTAAATGTACATGCGTGCGCGCGCGATCCAGAAACGCGATCATTGCGTCATGCGATTGAGAACATCTAAACAGTGTAGTAAGTACATATATAGCGAGTAAGCGGCACTCGGCAACTTGCCGGGTCAAGATTCTACTACACAGGTTTGGAATCGAAGCGCGGGCGTAATGAAATACCATGCTCTTTACACCTAACTACTGAGTTTCATTTACAAAGAGATTGATAGACTATTATCTCATACTGATAGCATCTTTTGTCTAAATTTTCGTGAAAATTTAACAAATATTAAGCAACAAATAAATGTTTCAAGATCTGGCAGTTTTGAATGTTGTAAATTATTTTTTGTTTTTGTTTAAATAGAAGCATAATATTATAAAATGAAAATAAAATAATTAATATATTTTCTTCTTTAATTTCAATTTTTTTCATTTTATGTTTCAATAGTATATTTTTTAAAAACGTTTCATTTTTCAAATAAAGAATAAAAAATTTATCACTGTTATATATTATATAACATATTAAAGAAATTTCTTTTCGTATATTTAATATTTTTTTTTTTTATATTATGTGGTTGATAATATTTTCAAACTTTTTCTTTTATTAATTTTAAAATATATTTTTTTAAGAAAAAAATTACTATTACAGTTTTTATTATCATATACTATATTATAATACTATATTATACTATATTATAATACTAATCATTATATAAATAGAAATTGATTTCAAGGTACATTTATATTAGAAAATATTCGATTTAGTGTAGATTATCGTTGTTGCTCTATATATGAAGTTTCGAACATATGAGTCATCCAATTAAACGCATAATTTAGCAACTATGTGCAATGCATGCAGTCATATGCAAATGCCAATCATATATGAAATTTAATTCATTGTTGTAAATTATCCAGCATTAATTCTTCATTTTAATTAACATATTTTGCATTTTTTTTGTACTATAGAAAAAATTAATTGTTTTCAAATTATATATGTTTTTCTTAAAATTTTTATTATATAATCTTTAATTATAATATATAAATAATAAAAATATTAAAAGATAAAAAAATTAAAATTAAGTTTTAAATAACAATAAAATTAACATTTTTAATTAACAATACAATTTTCATCAAAAATATTTTATGCATAATTTCGAACTTTGTATTATAAAATATATAGTATATTTAATGATATTGATTTTAAAATACTAAAAAATTGAAGTAATGTTTAAAAAATGACAAAACTTCCATCAAAAGAATTTTCAAAATTTGCATATTGCATAATTTTGAAGTTAGATATTTTTTTTTTTCTTTTCTTGTGATATTATTTTTAACATTTTATCTCATTTCAGAGAAGTATAGTCAACTTAGGAAATATTCGATAAAAAATCTTTGAACTATTCTTGCGAAGTATGATATAATACTTATCAAGCAAACAAGTCCTATATTTTCTTAAACATTATCTTAAATATTTTTTGAGTTAAAAAAAAATATTACTTCATTTCAATATTATTATATTCATTTTTAAAATCATTTTCCATGTAGCATATGTTTAAAAATGATACAGTTATATCATAAATATCTAATAAAAAGTAAATCTTACAAGCTTTGTTTTATGAAGTGCAACTAAAATGTTATACTATCCCACGTCGATAAAACTTGACCTTCCTTTAACAGCTTTTTTCCAACATTGCGTGGGTTGACAAACAAATATATAATATTTTTCAGTTATCTAAAAAAGTAAAATAACACTTTTTATTCTAAAATGATAAGTTGTTTTATTCCTGTATAGTCGATAGTATACGTCTTTGAAGTTATTTTTTGCAGTCATTTAATTTACAAAAGTTATAGTTTTGTTAGAAAAAAAAAATGTATGCATATAATGATAAAACATTAGGATCAAGGCATAAAAATTTTCTGTTATATGCATTAATTTATCCATTTCAAATTGATAATATTTCTCATTCAACAGAAATATGCTTACGTTCAATTTCAAATATGAGCACAAAAACAGCATCTATATTTTAATTCGAATATTACAATTCGTATACAAATATAATATGCATGAAGACAATATTATAAATTATGGATTCATTATTGTTTCTCGCGCGAAATTGTTGTATATCTAATACGCTTTATTTTCCCGATATCGATTTATATCGTTCAAAAAGCGATTCAAAACAGGTGGATGTGCACTGGTGGTATCGTTAAGTCGTAGAGTCGTGGGCTCTCTGCCTACGTTGGTTTACCTGTAGGCGTTCGATTCGAGACGTTCCATATTAACCTTGGATTTACGTCAATGCAGGGGCGTTCTACGCTGGTACGTGTAACGTCATTGTCACGAACTTATACGCGATGCGTTTATTCCGACCTTCGTGAAGCTTGCTGACAACCTTTACCGCAACGAGGTGTAAATATATTTCCTTGATCTTTTTTTCCCTCTTCTACATTTTCATTTTTTTCAGCTTTTTTCCTTTTTTACTATTGTACGAACTACATAAGCAATGTTATTCTCTTTTAT